GACAAACTGACGGACTGACAGTCGTGCTAATATTGACATTGAAAATGGTGTTTAGTGGAAAAACTCGAAGCTTGAAACTCGAAACTCAAATCCGAAACCTGTTCCTGCACTGAGAACGAATCAAGTTTTAAGCTTTTCCAATTCTATTTCTATTTTTATGAGAGTTGAGAAAAAAGTGAAAAAAAAAGAAAACAAAACTGCAGGTGCAATCAGTTTTATGCTTTATGAGTCTTGTTATGTCGCTGTTTATGTTGACTCACGGCCACTGAATGCTCCATTTAAGCCGCAAATTGTGGACCCCAGAGACACCCTCCCCGCACACATTTGATGCTTATAAAATAAACTATTAATAATACACGCTCCTACTGTTATTGTTGCGAAATTTACCGGAAATTTGGCACAATTGTCGGCACCGGCAAAGCAAAACGAAAAACAAACAAACTATAAAAATAATTTAATTAAATGTATCTAACTTTTAGTTTTGTGCGCAAAATGTGAAAAAAAAAACTTCTCACGCGAATGCTGAAGCCAATGAAAATGGTATGGGTATAGGGTATATTGGCTTCTTATATACATACATATACATGTTGTATGTATATAAATGAGAAATTACAAAATGTTCCTTATCTATCGGTAAATTTTACTGACTTTTGCTCATTTAAAATGAATAGATTAACATTGTATATTTACCTATATATACAGGTATTGCAATAGTCATGCACTCCCGATCCGGGCACTCGCTTGTCTTTGTTGTCTTGTTTAGATATTTGGGAATTTTCGTTTGTATTTTCGCACAAAGCGTAATATTCTACATCGGAAAAAAAGAAACATTCGTGTAGCATGACCTATAATAAAAAGATTTCTTGCGAATCCGAAGCGCTGCGAATTTTTTAAATTAATGGCAACTTAATTTATGATCACGCCTCAGATTTTGAGCAATGATAAATAATGCAGAGAACACAAATTGAAGTGGCAGATAAATAAACAGATTGTGGATTCCACAGCAAGTGAAGCAACGACAGCCACAGCAGCAGCAAAAATGAAAATGTGTGAAACCCATAAGTTTATCTAGGCTCTGTACGTCTGTAAGTCCGTAATGCTGTAAGAGAAACTAGGGAACGTACGACTAGGTGAAAGGTGCGAATTTTATCGCAGCCTAATAATCGCAGAGATTTACAATATTTATATAAAGAAGCCTCTTCGGATGAATATATAAACATTTTCAATGCTTTGTTCGCAAAAACGCCAATGGGTGAAAATATATTTCGAATATAATATATATACACTAAAGTATTATTTCTTGTTAATTGGTTGAGTAAATAAATATAGATTTCACTTTCAATTGAAATATATAATCATTGAAGCAAAACATATTCCCATTGTTCATTCCATTCTTTTTAACTAGAATTACTAATTACCTTGAATAGTTTCACGATTTTGTAAACTCAATTTAATTAGCTGTGCAATTTTGTATTTCTTCTTGATAAAAGTGCTAAAAACTTTAGCCTTGCATACCAAAGAATGTTTACAGAATTGTAATACATGTATCATCTGCGATTGGATATTTTTTAGCATTGAGGAAAAATCGGTCTGAACTGATCAAATCTTTATTTTCTTTGAGTAATAATACACTACTTATCTTTTAAAGATTTACTAAATTATAGCAATATGGACTACTACTATAATTTTTAAATATTTATTCGACAGCCGGTATATTTCCTTAGATATTTATTTAGGTTTTGCTGTAATTGGAATTTTTTAAACAAATTTATGCAGATTATGTCAATTCTTAAATAATATAAATCTTTACAGCGAATCTTTCTCTGCATGCATTAATATATTTATGTATAATGTCAAATTTAAACTTGGCTCAGCTCGTTTAATTGGGACAGTAGGGCCTTCGAGCCCTAGACACACACACAGACACAAACACTGAAAAGATTCTGTGATAAATCAGACAAGCAAAGGTCGCTGACATGTCGCATTGTGTCTCGTGTGTCTACAAACCCTTTTTTCTTGTTTTGTACCCGTTTACACAGAAAAACAAAGAATGCGAATGAAATCCACTGAAAGGCACGACAGATCCAAACTTTGGCACAGAGAGCGAGGGACAAAGCTTGTATTGTCAGCGCTCCATACGGAAGCGAGCTAGCTATATGCATATAATTTTTTTTTTTTTAATTTTTGTTGTTTAGTAACTATGTCAACCCGAGACTTGAGAGATAAAACAAACGATGTCTATTCTAATGTGGATACATTGCTAAATATTTGCCAGCTAAGTCTGCAGATAAATCTGCCGTGTAGACGAACTCAAGTAGAATTGTATAGATAGTGCTAAATGCTTGCTCACGCATTGCCAACGCATCGACTAAATACGCCCACCGTGGAGAAGTGAATGACATTTGCAAATATAATGGCATTTGTTAAGGGAATAGTCGTAAAAAATGATTGTTGAGCATCTGAGAATATCCATTTGCATTTTACGATTCCAGTCAAATTTGTATGCATTACCCAATGTGGGTATATTGATTTGGGCATTCGGTAAGTAATGTATAGAAGTGGATGTTTATGTTGTCAAACTTTTTCTGAACAACTGTCAGCTGTCAAATGAGTTTCTGTTTAGAAATATATACATCTTATCATGGTAAATTCTAGCCCAGATTAGTAATTACTCGCCCAGAAGCGTATATCAACTTCCACTTGACACAGCTAAACTTACTTTCTAGTTAATGATAGATGCACTCACAGAGGTCTGGCCATAGGAGCTGACTGCGTTGTTCGTTAGCTCAGAGTCTCTAAACAAGTTAAATGAGAAAAAGTTAAATTGATATTGAAGTAGCTGCTGTTTGAGAGGGGGCTGCAACTGGGTGGCAGTTGTGCAGCTTGTTTGTTTATTATGCAATAGAGTAGAGTGCAAAAGCAACAGCAACAACAACAACGACAACTGACGTCAACAAACAACAATAACAACATCGTCAACTGTCAACAGAGCACAAAAGTCGCAGACATTCGCAAATAACAAAAGCGCGAAAAGTGCCAGGAGAAAGGGTAGATAGATGATGAGTGCGCTGCATGGAGTGCGATGGCATCTAAATAGTTTTAGTAATGCCTGTTTTTTAGAGGCGTGGCAGTACGTGTGGGTGGCGAAATCGTTTGCATTGCGCATTTTTTCTATGAAAGTTCAATTGTCAATAATAAAGCAAAGAGATTGACGATAGTAACTGGTGAATATATGATGGTCAGTAGTGATTATTGATTACTGTTTGCTGATTATTGATTTCTCGTACACTCATTAGATGAACAAATATTGAAGTTTTAGTAGTTTAAACACTTGAATGCTTTTCTATTTTCTCTTTGATTCTACAAATCAATGAATGATTCTCTATATATCAATGATTCTACAAATATAATGATAAATAGAGAACATTCCGGACACTTGTTGACTTATGCTCAAGTATCAGTAAGCTATACAAAATTGTTTATATAAAGGGATAACAAGTTAAATTAAATACCTAAATATGTATTACATTATACCTGTATATGAGCTGTGCACGGCATTAATATTTATCTAGAACTCAAGTCTCCAGTTAACTTAAGTAATGCTTGAAGGCCTTCCCAACTGCATTAAGATGTGTGTCACCTGCTAGCCTAACCCTTCAAGGTCAAACGATACACTTAACTTCACTTGCCACTTGCCACTTCCCACCTCGGCCGCATTGGCTACTTTAGTTCAACAAATTCATTTTGCCCTCTGGCAGTTGCTCAACAGCTTTTGCTGACCGACCGGCGCAAGCAACAACAGCAACAGCAACAACAATATAGACCACAAATCAAGCGCTTGGGCTGAGGAAGGCGTGAGCGGGCTTGTGGGGCGGTGGGGCTCAGCCTTGAGGACAACTTCAAAGCAAACGCATGAAAAAGCAAGTGCAGTGCAAAGTAGAAAGAGCTCAAAATGTATAAAAAAGTTCCCACGCGACAAGAGTGCAAAAGCTAATCGTATAAAAAAAACAACAGTTTTTCAATTCTTGGACATGTGAAGCAGCGAAAAAAAAGAAATAACAAAATAAACTAGTATCAACGATTTTTATACCCTGAACCCATTTTCAATGGGAAATCAGGGTATAATGGTTTTGTTGAAATGTATGTAACAGGGAGAAGGAGGCGTGGCAGACCCCACAAAGTATATATATTCTTGATCAGGGTGACGAGCTGAGTTGATTTGGCCCTGTCCGTCTGTCTGTCCGTCTGTCCGTCTGTCCGTCTGTCCGTATGTATGAACGCGTCGATTTCAGAAGATATAAGAGCTAGAGACTTCAAATTTTTTTTAAAATGTCCGTAATTACAGCGCGCATATCAAGTTTATCATTAAAAATCGATAACTCATCTCGATCTTTTTTATCGATAAAAAACCTTATCGAAACCCAGTTATAAAATTATATCTTCTACACCTTTATTGCTAGAGACTCCAAATTTTTAATGTATGCCTATATGCAATTTATACAATTTCGGTTTTTGTTAAAATTTACCCCCCACCTCTAAATTCTCCCCCCTCACCCTCACTTTTGTAAAAAGCGTATTTCAAATACTAGAGACTTGTGCTTTGGCAATTACATGCATATTCATGTTATAATCATAATCTAAAAATTTCATGAAGATCGTACGTCCATAAAAAAAAGTTATTAAACAATTAAGTTCTCATAGTAAGCGCACACTGCAGCCCATGCGTGTTTATGCGTGGTTGCTTGTGTGTGTATGTGTTTGTGTATGTGTGTGTGTATGTGTGTGTATGGGTTTGTGTATGTATGCGTGTAAGTGTGTATGTGTGTCTGTATGCGTGTGTGTGTATGTATGCCTGTGTTTGCGTACGTGTGTGTGTGTGTGCGTGTTTCTTGTGTAAGCTGAAAGTCGCGAAAAAGTATTGAAATATCTATTGCTCCAAGGGTTCAGGGGATCTCGTAGTCGAGCAGTCTCGACTAGAGCTTTCTTACTTGTTTTTTTTTTTTTTGTTGAAAAGAGTCAACTTGAAAATACCCTGTGTCCAAAGCCAAGTTGGACAAACGGAAGTGGGTGACTTTGATTTATGATACTAATTCAACTTAAATTTAAAAATTATTCTTTTTTTATATTTTATGCCCTATCAAATGCAACTCGACCGATACAGCTCTTCCCACATTCTCAAGAGTATATAATAATTAAAGCCGATTCGAAGCACTAGAAATCAAAACGATAGAAAGCAAAAGAAAAGCAAACACAAACTTTTGTAAAAAAAAAAAAATAAGCAAAATGAAAAACAAAACATTTTTGGAGTAAAAAGCACATTAGACGAACGTAGTTGAAAGAATATTGCGACGTCTTCAATCTAAACTCGTAATTGCCCCGTCTACAATTTAATGAACGTTGTGCTATGGCGTCTGCTTGGGAAAGTTGACAGTTTCAGTGCAATTGCTGTTTCCACTGGAAAATTGGGTGTGCATGTGTGCATGTGTGTGTTTTACACACACAGGCATGTCTATATATCATGTGGATGTCTACTTTCTAAATAGTACTTAGCACTTTCAATTGTACATAGAGCATAGCCATAAATAGCTGTAAAACAACAGACGAGAACCTGTCAGCGCCTGCCGGCCAACTAATTATGGCCAAGAGACCAATCTTAGTTCGTTTTCTATCTGCAGCGACTGTGTAATAGGCGCTAATCAAGCAGCTGGCCAAAAAGTAAATGTCTGCCATTAATTGCTCAATTGTCACAGCAGCCGAGCTGTCTTTGGCTGGCGAGTTGAATAAACCTCTTGAGCTACAGCTTGAACTTTGGCAACTGCTTCAGCGAGACGATGCCACACCCACCATAAGCCAGCACTGAAGTTGCCATTTAGGTGGCCAGAAAAACAAGTTTCAAGAACGCAAAAGCCAATTAGGATGCCTTAATGCTGATCTTTCGTTCGCTGCATTGAGCAATCAAATTATAAATATCAAGTCGAGTGATAGAGGAAGGCCGAAAAGTTTCGTTACAAATATTTTTTGACAACTTGAAATTGTTGAATGCACTTAATAAATTTTACATTTAAATATAGCTCATGCAAATGAGAGTGGTATTTGTATTTGTCTATTAATATGTCCAATTAAATAACCTAGTGCCATCTTAATAATATGTAGATTGCATAATCGAATGAAAGTCTTGCGGCACTTTTTCCCACTTGAGTGTTGCGTCAGGTGATGCGATTAGCAGTGCAGCATAATATGTGAGTTATAATGCCATGGCTATTGGCATTATACGAAATGATTTAAATGAGCCGCTGCATTTGCTTGCCCGCCATCCAACCAATCGCATTGTGCGCAAATGAACAAAAAGCCATCTAATGAATGCCTCGAATTTGTCGAGCGTGTTTGAGGCTTGAATTGTGCGGCTAATGATAAACTTCCTCATTTGTGGAATCGCGCATGTAAATTCGCTCACAAATCATCAGGCAATTTGTATTGAGGCTTAAGATTTAGGGCCAGCCGTTTTCCAAACTGGGTGAAATTTGTTTTTATTTTCTTCTTTTTTTTATTTTTGCGCCAAGCTCTACATACAATAGCTCTCTTCAGTTCCACATCAAATCAATAGAATTGTCGGGCAGCTTAGAAAGTTCAATATTGTCAATGCGTTTGTTTTGTCAGAGTTATGCGAGAGATTCTCAAAAGCTCAAGTGGAATGAGGCGGTTTCATTTGGTGATATTCAAAGGTTTGTTTGTATTTATTTCTGACTGACTTTAAAATATATGAAGATTGAGATTGAACTCTTTTACACCTTACAAAATATTAACATTTCTGTTTTTCGGCCTTCATTACAAACAATAAATATATTTTCAGAATAAAACTAACTAAAAATATTTTTAAAAATTATTATTTAAGCTAGCATTATTAAATCTTAAGGATTTGTATTAATGCACTGAATCAAATTAACTTCTAAATCAAATTACTATACAGTATATATAGAGTAATCTGATTCTAGCATGATAGAACTCCCATCTGTAATTACAGTTTTCACATGCTTTACATTTGCTCGAATTCCAGCTCAATATTCGCTGACTAGACGTCACAAATTGAATTAACGCCAATGTTCAAGTCCAGTTAACGTGTTCGTGTATAAACAATTTTTTTGACGGGTTCGTTGCACCCAAGCCTACCCTGATGATGACCAAAACCGAAACTGTCGCGCCTTTTGCGGCCTTTTCCGCTGCGTCACTTGGGAAACCGGGCGCAGTGACAGACGCAGCTCAAAAATGAAATTTTATAATAAATAAAAAAGTCTCGGAGTATCCACGCAAACAAACATAAGCATAACCCAGTGCATTGTATGATGACATTGCAATGCAAAGTATTTCTTTTTATCAGCGAAATTCATGCAAATTCTCAGCTCAGTCTGGTGGCCCTTCTCCCTCTTTTTTATTATTTATGTAAATAACTGTATGTATTTGTAATATGAAACGGCTAAAAATAGAAGTGAGGACAAGGCGTGTGCCTCTAGGGTCGACAGTCCATCCAGCGGATGTGGCGGACATACTTAGATAAAAAATATATATGCGAACTGTTTGTCTAAACTAAGAGTATGTAGTATAGGACGGATAACTATTAAAAGTCCCTCAAGTTATAGTGTTTATATTCAATGTTTTCATACTTGAATTGTGCAAAAACAAACTTTATGTATTACATTATATTTATTATCAGCTTACAGAGCTGAATCATGTTTTGAGCTTTGTTGATAAAGCTGGCACAATATGGTTATATCAATTCCAGCAATTCCAATGGCCTTCAAAATTCTTTAAATTGCAATTCATATAACTTGACGCAAAAATTAGAATATATATATATTTTTTTTTTTTCAGAACAAAAATTGAAGCTGTTGTGAATATGCAAATAAGTTCTCAAGAAATGACAATAAAATCATTTAAATGTAACAAATATTTATTGAATTGAATATAGGTCAAGTGCTTAATGCAAAGTAGATAATTATAAAACTGAAGCAAAACACCAATTTAGCATTTTAAATTGGGATTTATTTTTAAATACGTTTAGAAAATGAAAAGTAAAGTAAAATTGTTATTTATATACATATGGATTTTCTTCATTACATTTTAGTTTTCATGATGGTAGCGCTAAAAATTATAGTATACTAATTATATAAACAAAAAATATATATTTACTATAAGAGATATATAAATTCTAACATATATATATGTATATATAAATATTTGACATGTACATTTGCTTTATTTTATTCTATATATCAAATGTTTTTTGTTCATTCGCCCATAGTATATATCTATAATATACATGCAGATATATCTCTCTTACATGCATATGAATATATGTATACATTTTACTTTCAGAAAGTTCCATTAAAACCATAAAAAATCTCTTGAAAATGGCAAAACACTTTTATTCCATAGTGGATCACTTAAGCCCATTATAATTTTTTTTTTTTTTTTTTTTGTTATAAAAACAGTTTTTTTTGTTTTAGATATAGTTTATAGTGGCACATGCTCTTAAATATTGCGTTATATGCGAACTGGTGTATTTATCAAAGAACATTTGATTTGTTTTGAGTGTGGGTCAAAAGTTCGCCCCACGCAGCAAAACTAAAATTAGTCAAAACTTTTCCATAGGCCCATAATGCAAATCAGTTTTGAAGCGATGCCTAAAGGCAGACCACTTCAATGGTTTCCAATTCACTTCAAAGCGAAACAAAAACAACAAAAAATGCAATTTTCCCCCGACTATTTGTGCCGCTCTATTGTATCGCTCATTTAAGCGGCTCAAGATCTTTTTATATGAAAAGGCGGCTGCATTGTTGCAATTTAAATTGATTGGCGATTGGTGGGCTAAAAGGGGGGAAAGCGACCCAGCCATAGGGGAGTGATTGCTCTGCTTTGGCGACATTGTGGGGCTGCACTCATAGACATTGACATGGCCTGGGCTCCGCAGGCCTGAGCTGGTCTGGCTGGCAAGGCGATGTCTACATGCTGCTACTGCCATATCGAAATCAACGAACGCCCCTCTCGGCTCGGTCATTGCCATTACCATAGCCGTAGCCATCGAACATTAACCATAACCAGCGACAAGTAGCCGCATGCCACTTGGCTGCACCACTGCACCACTGCAATCGCATGGCCAGGCATAGAAATCATCACGTTTCGTGGTGGCGCCTCCAACCCAATCCAGCGTCTGATGATAGCGTTTGCTGTCTGATGACGATGATCAAGATGCAGCTGATGCCGGTGATGATGATGATGATGATGCTCAGGTTTCACGCCTTGCCAGGCAGCTGGACCAATGGCTGTTGCTCTTGTGGTTAGCCGCTGCGGTTTCGTTCCCTATCAGCTTTTATTTCTTTTTTTATAACAAATTTGCGTGTAAGACTGTGTATTCAGATCCAGCGAAAGATTGCGCCCATATTGACTGATATGAACAAGTTTGCTGGCATGTTAAATGTTGGATGTTGGCATTTCAGTAACGCCCATGGCATTTTTCCATGCTCCGCTTGAAGGTCTCCGACGTATGCGTAACTAGCTCTAAAAAACACGTTGCCAACCTGTTAAATGCTAATGATGAAGCTCGGTAAAAAAAAAAACTTTGAGAACTATTTTCTTATAGCCAATTGATGAAGGAAGAGAGCAACTAAGTATGTTGTATGTCGAGGGAAGTTTGTTTTCATTAAAGATGATTCTGTTGCATTTTCAACATTATTTTTTGGTGGCATTACGAGAGTTATGGCATGGGCACAGCAAGGAATTGATGCATTATTGTTTTTTTTGCTGCTTGGAGAACCTAAAATGGAGCAGAGTAGCTTGAAGTTGAAAAAATTACAAAATGAATGAAATGAATATATTTGAAATACAAATATTAATTCTTGGGTAAACTTAATTAAAGTTATTTAATTCATTAAATCGATAATTTTTTTCAAAAATAGCATTTCAAAATGATGAATCTAATGATATGCCTAATATTCCCAAGACTTTCTTTTATTTGCTTAACAAAATGATGTATACTCAGTCAAATCATAATTTACCTAATATTCTCTAGATTATCTAGCTTATCTACTTAGTATGCTAGCCCATACCCACTGTTCCCTTGATACATTCCATGCCTACCCAATTGCGTCTTTTTACTGGGTATATACCATATAAAGCCGTTATATGCTGTAGTTTGGCTGCCCAATTGATTTGGTAATTGCTTTGCGTAATGCCCGATGCACTTGTCGTCGCTCCCGGCTCAGACTTTTTGAGTGGGGGTTATAATTGCGCAAGTGACGACGTGGAGGCAGGCAATTTGCATGTATGTGCGTGAGTGAAAATCAAAAGATAGGGGGGCGTGAAAGAGAGTAAGAGAGAGAGGGAGAGGGAGAGCACGACTTGGGCCTATAAAATGAAATGCTTTTCACATGTGACAGGCAATCACCGCGAACAGGCGACAAGTGCATTGACATTTAGCTCCTCACATGAACGCCTCAGGGTAGAGGCTACAGGCTGCAGTGGCTATAAGAAACGAGCTATGGACGTGACTTTATGGGAAGCGTATAGCTGGCAGAGTTGCTCAAATGGAAATCGAGATCCAAATCGAAAATTTACCTTTACTTTTTTTTGACATATGCAAATTCTTAAGATTTATGCTAACTTTTTCTTAAGCTGTTTTATGGCTTCTGTTTATCTTCCCTTTCGTTCGCTCTTTGCATTAATTATATAAATTTATTTTCAAGATTTCACTGAATTTTCGATTATGTCTTTTTTTGGCAACCGCTGCAGAAATATATAATCTTATGAATAACACAAAATGATATACAAATTCTGCTATTTTCGTAACATTTGTATGATTTAACAATTTAATTCAGGTTCACTTATGGCAAATTTGTATTAATTATTCATCTTAAGGATATTATAATTGGGCTATAAATGACTAAATTCATCAAATTGTTAATTGACTTTTCATTATGTTTGTGAAGGTGTGAATGTATTAAAATATTGTAGACGTCAATGGAATCGCGGATCATAATTTATGTTGGTCTTTAAAGACTTTACTCAAATCTCTTTCACTCTCTACGAGTCTCGCACAGAATGATTTTATGAGTTACTTTACTTTCTCTGGTTTTAGCAAACGCTTTGCTGACCTCAGACAATCGTTATTAGCTAATGCTTTTATATACCTACAAATACCTATATTTGACCTGTTTAACTGGCCGACACCTTTGCTTGTCACATTTTTTTTTTTCTGAAGGCATCACACGATGCTCCCATTTCGCCATTAACTGAAGCCAGAGCCAAGCCCAGGCTGGGGATTCGCGTCAAGCTGTAAGCGACACCGGAAATGACACTTTAACCTTTTCGAGCTGGCGTCATGTCACAAAGGGTTGGGCCGCTCAATATCACCTGCTACCCACTTGTCAGACTGAATTTGCCGGCGCACCTCCATAGTGTCATCGTGGCCAATTCTGAAACTCGAATGCGCAAAATGAGATCTCTCAAATTGGCTGCGGGCCGTTGCAAAATGTCGAATGTCGAATGCCGATTGCCGAATATCTAAACAAAATCGATTTGTTTATGCCAATGGCTCGGCCCACGCCAACGTGTAGATGGCATGGAACATATCATTACAAGCTGCAGCCGTAGCCGCAGCAGCAACCTCTGCCAGACACAACAACAAAATATCAAAATCAAACAGAGACGTCGACATCCGCTATGTAATGCGGTCAAGGTCCGAGCAGTTCGTGGGGCGGCATCGGGTGGCTATAGGCAAATGGCCATAAATTTATTGCGTGCTTAAATTCAATAAATTCTTTCGGGCGCGAGTTGCATGAATT